AACGAATACTTGCTTAAGTATTCTTGTGCTTACCTTTTGGTATAGGCAGAGAAGTCACGTAGTATTAATTTCGAGGGCAGGGCGCCTACTCTGTTACACCCATCCGCCAGCCTAGGCTCAAGTCACTGACAAGGCAGAGATACAAGAGCACCTTACTACGCCACAGGACTATTGCGATCCTATCTTCTTTAGAGCATCTGATGCCTCCTTTGCTAACGACGTTGAGACGCGCTAAAGCTCTTAAGGATACGTATTTTAGCTGTTTAGCATTGTTGCGGTGCAAGTCGGTCCGACAGGCCTCGATCGTCACCTCCGTTGACTACCTTGGACTAGCACGTCTCAGGGCATGTATATATGGTCGCCTCCTAGCTAGCAAGCAACTCAGCGCAGTTTTCCATCGATATACAGCGGCTACGTTTGCCGCAACAAGCATGACTATTGACTGAAAGTCAACACTTCAACGCACTGTCACAAAATCAACAACAGAAGCAGAGCTGCTTGCTCTCTCACTTGCTAGATCAGAGATGGAGGAGTGGTGCTGCTTGTTTAAAGGACTGTCTTTGAAGCCTAACTAGACGCCTATTATTTAGTGCAACAACTAACAGACTGTGGGCATAGTTATAAAGGAGCAGAACAAGCTTAGCACTAAGCTTTGTTGCGGCAAACGTAGCCGCTGTATATCGATGGAAAACTGCGCTGAGTTGCTTGCTAGCTAGGAGGCGACCATATATACATGCCCTGAGACGTGCTAGTCCAAGGTAGTCAACGGAGGTGACGATCGAGGCCTGTTGGACCGACTTGCACCGCAACAAGCTTAAACACGTTAATATTTATCAGAACTAGATCTGCTAGGAGGTTGAGCAGAATTAACTCTACGTCCACTAGAGGCCTACAAGCTAGATGCCTGCCAACAGCATAACAAAGATTCTTTATTGTTAGAAGCACATTGAATTCATACAGCAGCTACAGCTTATAGACGTTTGCTTAAAGGTTTGTAAGATAGAGAACAACAGCTAAGAGGATCATTCTTACGTCGCGAATTGACTACAGGATGAGGGTGTGTGTAACAGTTAAGAGGAGAAGCAGATCACGTGTTGTCGGTGGTGGTCTGGTGCTGCTTCCTCATGTTGTTGAGCACTTCTTACCTAAGCTGCATCACAAACATGTCATCAAAACAGACCCCGCAGCAAGTCTTGGAGAGAAAAGATACAAGCAGAACAACAACGGAGAACAACACAATACACTCGTTATATACATTTTGCCCTTGATACCGCAACATCAGGCTACCGCAGAAACAGGTGAACTCGACTACCGGTATCGTTAGCTGATAAGGAGGGCATTCTAGGCCAACCAGACAGCTGCTTCAGTGCGCTTATGGATCTTTCAGGGTAGCTTGCGGGTCAATTTCTCACATTTTCTCACTGTAGCTGATACTTGAGACCCGGCCCTAATCCAACCGGCTAACGGTTATCAAACTACACCAGTTGCTGCGTTACTTCGGACAACCAATAGCTCCATCATCCAGAGTCTTCCAGTGTTGAGACCAGTCCGAACTACAAATCCAGCAGTCAACCATGGCTTTGTTGCAGCGTCAGAGCGATGTAGGTGCCCTTTGGGAGAAGGTTCCTGACAGCTATCGAAGAACAACCGGATTAGATATGCATCAATGCCTGAGAACAGTCTAGGTTAATTGAATGGCTGCTATAGTGCTGAAGTTAGATTGGGCCAGCGGAAGGGCAGTAATTAGGCACTAGAATACAGTTGAAATGAGAGTTTCAGCAACCTTGGAACTTTTATTTTCGAGGTTACAATACGTGCTCATAACGCTATAGCTCGTCTCTCTTCACCTTCTCACTCTCAGGAATGAAATCCCAATTTGTACCAAAACCAGGGGTGTCGAAGTTCAAACTTGGTAGTACTTCTTCTTCCTTCTTGGTGCTCACCGAGCTCAACGCTGCCAACAATGAGCCATCGTCAAGATCAATTGCCCACACCATAGTCCTACAATCAAGCATGTCAGCACCCAAGGTAAGAAAATGCAAATGGGGCTCAGAGCTGAACGTACCCTCCCAAGCATCGCTGATTGGCGTAGTCCAGCTTGATTTTGAGCGTCTCGGCGTCGTCGAAACTCGCCCATTGATTACCATCCCATGTGACGATCTTTGCTGCAGCTTCAAGATCATGCAACACAGTCACACCGTTCTCAATGATCTTGTTGATCGTTGCTGCAGATAGCACACCCGGTGTTCCGGTGCGGTCGCCGCCTTTTGCGACCTCACTGAATTCGCATCCGGCGTGCATACATCCAGGGTCCTTCATTGTGAAAGCTGAAATGAGCGTTAGTGGAATCGAGAACCGATGTGGCGTTCGGAGCGCGTACTTCGACCGTAGAAACCAAGGCCCATGACTACACGCGCAGGGTTGATGTTGTTCCTCTACAGCAGCTCCAGGCCCAGTTGGATTTCGGTAAGGTTGGTGTGTGCATACGCGTATGGACCGATCGCCGTCACTGTGCTGTCCCAGACGCCGTCTGTTGAGTCGAAAGGCATTAGTCCAATGTGCGGCTTGTTCAGATGATAAGAGTTATCTTACGAATGTCATAAGTCATGATGTTGAACCAGTCAACATATTTATCCAAATTTACAATGTCAACCCCCTTCATGTACCAATACGATGCCGGCTAACATAAAGTCAGCTCTATTGATGTCGCGGAAGAGTTGACTTACTAGTGTAAGTGTGACGCCGTAGTATCGACCGCTGCTGTTCAGACGGTTGCGTAAGTTTTTCAAGAAGATTACGTAGTTGTCAAAATCCTCTGGTATGCCCCCACGATCCTCCGCAACAGGATATTCCCAGTCAATGTCGACGCCGTCGAAGTCATTAGCTTTCATGAATATCACCAAGGACTCGAAGAATGAAGCTTGTGCCGAAGTGGACTTTGCGAGATCAGAAAATGTGGTTCGGTATGGACCGGGGTCGTTCATCGCCCATCCACCGATAGCTGTGTTAGTCGTAATTAGAGACATGACGAGTACTGATAGGGTTTCACTAACCGATCCAAACCTTGAGGCCCGGTTGTCTCTCTTTGAGCTTCGTTACTCTTCTCGGGGTCATTACCATCGCAGCTGTTGACGATTCTATTGAAGGACTCGACACAGGTGTCTTTGTTGGAGTCGCCAACATTTGCGCCGAGCTGCAAGACGAAAGTGTGTTCATCTGGTGTGCCCGTAAAATAAGTGTGTTTTCTTTTCCAGCCAACTTCATGATCAGGCACGTCGATGTCGTTGCCGCAGAAAGCCTCAATGTTTTCGTTCATCTTGTCGCCTGTCGCATAGCCTTTGCGGCCTTCCTTTTGCCAGCACTTGAACTCATCAGTGACAGTACATGTTTCGGAATCCTGGCCAAGGACTTTCGCCCGGAGATCGATACCTTTTGCGAGTGCAAACGAGGCGATGGTTTCATGCCCTAGCTCATTGGGATAGAAGAGTTTGCCGAAGATGTCTGGCGTATATTTCCCCAGCAATTGAGTTATCGCATCTGAGTCTCCTGGACAGCCGGGTGGCGCGGGGGCTCGTTTATTAATTTTGTGAACTGCCTCTGCCGCAGGAGAAGGCGATTTCCACAGAAGAGTGTCGTAAATGCTTGGATCAATTCCATTCTTTGTCAAGGGAAGTGTACCGTTCTCGATCATCTTATTGATCTCTTGTTGTCTTCTTCTGAGCTCATCGTGCTCCCACCCAGCAGTATTGGTGGATGGCTTGAAAAACTGCAAGTCGGGCTGATCTGAATCGGGGTACGCCCCACTTGAAGATGGGTCGCACATCTGCCCTTTGACGCCGTCCCGTACCCAGGGATCCCAGTTTGAGAAACCAATCTCGTATTTCAGAGTTCCTTCGTCGCGCAAGATATAGATAACCTCTCTGATAGTATTGTTGATTGTCAGCACAAGCTTGTTAAACTGTTCTTGCCGTTCGGTAGTGAGCGTAAGTGCTGTCTTTCCCCAGTACTGGGGAAGCCATCGACTGAATGCCCAAACTTGCTTATCAGCACAGTCGTTGTTTTCGGTATTGAAGTACTGGGCATGGCCGTTATATACGACGACACCATCTTCGGCCATATTGTCATTGAGAGCCACAAGATTTGCTTGAGGTTGGACTTCAGGATAGTTTCAACGTTTTCCTGAGCCTTCTTGATGACGGCATTGCAGGTTTCTTCCCCCTCATAAGGAAGCATGACACACTTCATGATCATTCCAGCCTGCGTAGATGGTTATTCCATGGCTGATAATGCAACATTCTCTGGCCGAGAAACTTACTAGGCAAAGATCATTTTCACCAGCAGTCATAATGACCATGTCCACACCCTTTTTGAGACTACTGACTTGGTCAGAGATTTGTACAGAGCGGTCTCCACTGCATGCGGGAAACTGGAATTCTTTAACAGATGGTCCAATGACGCTATTGATAAGCATTGGATACGACAAGTCGTATCGCGAGCACGCATAACTGTTTCGGCCTTTATTAACGTCCTTGTTGTGGTAAACATCTCCCAGATGGTTTCCAGCGCCAATCCCAGCCGTAAAACTGTCTCTAATGGCGGCCAAGCTCTTCACCCACGAGTAATCTGTTGGATCGCCATCTTTTCGCGGGCGGAGCACTGGTGGGGGCTCCGAGCGGATTAGATGCTTGAAGGTTGTGCGGTTGCTATTCGTTTGTTGAGGGCGTTTGACGACATGACCAGAGGTTGCAGGCAGTAATGATATGAGATAGAGCGCCCAGATGATCAAAGAAGACATGAAGCCGGTATACGGAAATGTCACACGTCTGAAGTCTTGCTGCAGTTAGTCAGGTGGTGCCATGATTTGTGTGGAAGGAGAAGTTGCCTCAGCCGAACGATCCTCAGCTCATCCGGAGACAAAATCAAGATAATATGATCCCAGATGGTGTTTTGAACTCTAGGCGAGCGGGATAGAGTGGAAATGGCGCTCAGGAGAAGAACTGCGCTAGCGCAGGGGTGGCCCGTTGAAATGCGGGCACCTGCTGTAGGATGTCCGAACGGCTGCAGACCGACACGGAACTGTAATCCGCATCAAGCCCTGTCAAGACATCGCACAAGTCTCGTGGTTGGCTGGCGACCAACGTAAGCGCTAGTACAGCTTCACTCTGTAAGCCATCAAGCGTCCAGGTTATCATACGGTATCGTGTAATTTTCTAAGATCAAAGCCCGGAAAACTACTCAGATTGCCAAGCCCATGTAGGGTGGATAGACGCTATGTGCCTACCTCATTTCAATATCAATTTTCGCGCCTTCACTTGCCGCGATTACGCTAAGCCCGTCATGTTAGGACGCCTTGACAAGAGAGTGATGTGGAATCCCTCGTGAGCGTTGCCATCTCAATTGTGATGACCTCTGTCCTCTCAAAATTCCCTCCTCCGAGCATCTCCAACTACGGCATGTCGTAAAGACGTGACCAAGCTCTCAGTATGTAGGGGCTCACAGCTATTGAGTATTGCTAACTCCACCACAGTTTACACCTCATAATGGCATCTTCAATTCTGACACTCTTTATATCTAGCATTTTAGTGGCCAAGCCCATCTTTGCAGGAAGTCAGGCTTAGGAGTCTTCTGTTGTCTATACTCAACCCAGTTACGCTGAACTTCATGGCGATCTCTTCAAGTTTGAGAAAGGGAATTCAACAACTAGCACAAACTCCACAAAGCCTGCACCAGGACTCAAGAAGCGTTATGTGACCATCAACCCAGGTACTGGAAATGTGGATGACCGCCTATGGCCCAATGGCAAGATCCCATACTGTTTCGAGTCCTCGGCTACGAAAGAACTCTTCTTTGAAGACCTCCTCGAAGCCCGAAAGTTGTGGGAGAATGCCGGGCTCGGAAGAGGGTTTGATTGGGTGGAGAAGGACAGCTCCTTGTAAGTCCACCACAGAGATGTGGTTGCGACTCAGTATCATTAATGCTGACACAAACTTTACAGCTGCAAAAACAACGCAAACAGACCGAATTCTCTTTTGATTGTTGAAAGTGACGGACTCTCATGTACTACTGGTGTACCACCTCTTAACAAGATGAGTGGCGACCCGGAAAACAGAGGGCCTCTGATGAGATTGACTGCTGATCTTGACATTGGGAAACAAAACCTAGTAGCCAACTATGCTCACCAGATAGGTGTGAGTATCTCTGCTCTCTATTTTGATGCACACAGTAACTAATCACAGATCTAGCATGCATGGGGCCTCTACCATGAACACCAAAACCCAGCTTGGTGGTCATCAGAGTATGCTGCTGCTGGCGGGAACATATTCAGCTCCTTGAACTTCAGATGCGAGAAGCTGGCTAATTACGCCAGTGTATCACAGAAACTGACGGCTGAGCAGATTGAAAAAGCGTGTACGTCAAGAGCATATGCAAAGGCTTATCGCTTCAGCGCGGCAGAGTACTTGCCATTCATGGACTCCACTGCGTACAGAGCGAGCAATACAGCAACTGAACCTGACTGGGATTCCATCATGATCTACAATAGTTAAATGGGATCAGCTTTGACCAAACCAAACGGAGATGCAATTACGCAGGTTCTGTCCCCCAGTCAGCGTGATGTTGATGGCCTAAGGAAGCTGTATGGCGTTTCTCTATCATCTTAATTTAATCCACTCAGAAGCAAGTCAAATGCAAAGAAGAATACGTTCAACGATATCTAGAAAAAAGAAAGAGACAGCGGGTGTGGTGAGGCGCCTGATGATGACCCTGCTGGAGAGATTAAATGTGGCCCCAAATCATGTGGTGGTGGTGCTTGTCCACTCAGGAAGAGAATCTCGGCTGCTCTAAGCAATGCAACGGTGCGCCGAGCAGTCCCAGTTATAGCTGACCCTACTTGAGGTTTCTTGAACAAAACAACAACCAGCGGATTAGATGCATTCACTAAAGAATTCTTTAATCCAGAGCTTCTTATCAAAGAGCCTTTCTTAGTGGACTTGGCAGATGCTGGTGGAGGCTATGTCTCAACAGCTATAGTTCTGGAGTTCAAGGATGGTGCATATTTCTCCAGGGTGATAGGTTTATTTAGGTACACTTCTGTTCTTGTTACTTCGCAGTGTGGAATGTACATAGTAAAGCTATGAACTCTTCAAGAGTGTGCTGTAACTGACCTGTGTAGTCGCACCATTAGGAGGTCTAGTAGAAGCGAGGGCAGTCCAATCAACAGTTCCAAGACATTGTCATTGACCCGTTGGTCAAGGGCGACAAAAACAACCCATCCTTCCTATGCTTCCCTCAGATCACGCCGAAGGACTGCTTCTCGAAAGAAAATAATGTCAAGGTACAAATCTGTTTCTTGTTGTAAAAAAGAACAAAGCCTAATGATTCTGCAACGGTAACCATTTTTGCGCCAACCTTCTTAGCTGGTACAACGCCAAAGTACGCGGACCGTAAAGCAAAGCTTGTTACCGCTATTGCTGGAGCTCTAGGGCTTTCCAAAACAGATATTATCATTTAGCTATACGACGCAAGGAATGAAGATAACTGGGCAGACCAAGAAGAGACTGAACCGAACCTCGATACAGCGAGTGGCAAAGTTTTCTTGACCTATAACCCAGATATCTTCAAAGATGGAAAGATGGCCGCGTATCAAGTCTGGGCTGGCGCTCAAGTCAACAACGTCGATGGGGTGATGCAAAAGCAAGCAAACAGTGCCATCAATATACCTATGATGTCGGTAAGTACAGCCTCGGAGCGTTGTGTTTAATTCCATGAACCGACTCGATGCATCTACGGGAATCGGCATCCTCGCAATGAGTCATATGCTAACTGAAACCTTGCAGGACCGCTGGGCACCGAATTTCTCTTCGAAGAAACGATCTCTTCTAAGCTATCTTGGCTCGGCGTAGGCTGGATCTTGTACTTTCACTCGGTTGGGAGGTTTCTGAACCTCTCCATATTAGCAACACTCGTTTGGGAAGCTCTTGTAGGCACAAATTGTATCCTGTCTTGAGCTCCTATTCTCTTCTCTGTAATATGATATGGTCAGCTCGTTATGAGTCGTCCGTGATTACAATCAGAAGATGCCGTATCAAGCAACGGTGTGATTTCAATGGATAGCAAAGATACCACGGCGAGCTTTAGAGAGCAGAGCCATTAAACACCACCAAAGCAATGAGCCCTCGCTTCACTCAAGATAATGTTGTCGTTTTGGTACTGCTACCAGGTCGGTCAAGTACATGACTGGCGCTTGATCAATCGGAGAATAGTCCATGGCTTAGCTGAGCAGCATGAGAACAGCCCAGGGTCAGATCGCTGTGTAGTCTTGAGTAGGAGCGCGCGTGGTGGGCTTCAAGTCTTCAGATTGGCAATGTTCTTAATGCTGCAGTCAAGGCGCTAGGCTGTATGATGGCTTCCGAATACAGAGACTTGCTGAGATTAAGAACAGATCCAAGACCGTGAGAAAGGCGTGCAGATCTGATTCATTCCAGCTATACTGAAGGGTTTTCCAGGAGTACGACACCTCTGTCACCCATATTCTCTTGTACTAGAACGTATCCCTAGCCCACCCAAAACAACCAACCGCATGCCCGAGAAGTGGCCTGATTTTCTCATTTTTCAGGCCTTCCGTTTGCGGTGTCGCTCTGTGTTGTCCAACCGTCCCGCCCGGAAAGATACAAGAGAGCGGTTAGCATGGGTTTTGTTTTTCGAAACAAGACCCAGAGGAAGCAGGTGCAGTCTCAATCAGAGCTTGCGCAGTCGAAGCAGTAGCTTGTGCTGTCACACTCGTGACGTTAGCGTTTCGACTCGGGTTGCGTGCGGTATGTGCTTACCATCAAGGGCCGAGACCGCCTTCTTCATGACCTGCAATGCTGCTTCGTAAAATGGCTGTAACTCAAGGTCCTCTGGTGCCCATGTTGAGTGGTCGCCCTTGTTGTAGTCCCTCAACCACGCTTCGAGCTCCTCAATTGGCGACTGGCGGCCCGGTTTTAAGGATGGAAGCCTTGGGTCTGCTCCGGCGTCGAGTAGCAACTCAATGACAGGAAGGTTCTGTTTCAGCTGCGTGTAATCGTGCTGCGCAGAGTCGTCTAGCGCATAATGTAATGGACGACCAACACCAGGATTCTTCCAGCCTCCAAGTTCGTTCGGATCTTCTCCTGACGCTATGGCTTCACGTATAGCCGCCAGTCTAGCATCCAGAGGCTCGTTTGATATGCACTGCTTGTGCAGTGGTAGTGCAACTCTATGCACGGGGTCCAGAAACTTCACCATGATGGAGGTAGTTTATCGTTGGCTTCAGACCATGCAAGATGTTTGCTTAGCCTTCAGGTTTTCCAGTCCGTATTGTAGCTCCAAAGTGAGGATCTGCTGTAGGAAACCGTGACATTTGATCCTAAAATGCGGTGGGTACCAGTGCTCGGAACCCCGAGGAAACGAAAGCGAAAATGTCCAAGAACGGCGCATAAAGGTCCTCGGTGATCAAGCGGGACCAAATCAGCGCAGGTGGGGTTCTTTAGCGTGTGCACGTGCCAGTTGGCATACCGTGTCCGTGCACCTCATGAGCCGGGTCAGCGAGTGAGCCACCCCACCACCTTTGAGCGTTTGATAGAATCATGGTTGTCATGCTACACACAAAAGCAAGTATTGTAAGAAAAGCTAGCAGATTAATCTATTAACTATTTGTCAGATATGAGCAAGGCTGGCCGTAACACTGGCTCGGCTGGAATGGAACTGCATGGAATGGACCGCGCAGCTGGTCGCACAAGAGCGGGGGATAAAAGCCAGCTGTTCATAGATCGATCGTTCAAATCAATCAATCACAACAATCAGCAAGAACCCTTTAAATCTGACAATTAAGAGTCTCACTGCCTCTATCAGGCAAATACAAGAAACCAACTAGACAACAATGAGTACACTACCTCACCGCGACTTAACAATCCTGCTACGCGACTAGTACGACTGGACAACCTGGATCAACCAGATCCAAGCCCGCGCAGCAGTCTACAACATCTGGAACAACCTCGATCCAGAACATCCAGTACCATTTCTAGTAGAGCCAACGCTCCCAGAAGCTCCAGAACCATCTGGATACCATGCAGCAGCCGGCGTCCAGGAGGCCTCTCGTCCTTCAGAGCTATCAGCTCAGGGCCAGAAGGCTTACAAAGAAGACATGGAATATTACAAGACACTTACTGAGAGATACAAGCTCACCTATCGCAAATATGAGATTGAACAGAAGAGCATCCAGCATTTGACTGCGCTGATACAATCAACAGTAGCACCACATCTACAACGCACCTGCTGCCTCCCTAGTCTGTCAATTCACCAGTGGATTACCAACCTTAAGGACACCACAGGTGTTGACGACAACCTAGAGAGCGAACGCGCACGAGCACGATACCACGCTGCCCTCAAACCTCTTATAAGACTATCAGGATGGGATATATGGCTAGCAGAATATGACCAAGCTGCCACAGAAGCAGAGACATACCGTGTGGCTGACGTTACTCAGATCACGGCTGTCACACAAGACTTCCAATCAGCTGTGCAGAAGGCAGCGCCTATATGGTCAGCGTTGTTTCAAGCAATGCGCCATGAAGCCAGTATGACAAGGAAGGAGATGATGAAACGTTTCCGAGAATACATGATGACAACTCATCCCCTTAGGCCAAAGCAAAATAAAGCTGCCTTTGTGATAGATGACGCTTCATATCTCGCTGATGGTGGTGCAACCACCCAGGGCAATGAGAGGGACGCTTCTATTGCAGAAAACGCGCCATCTAGACGAGGAAAACCTCGCAATCAACCTGGCAAGAACCCCAGGAAGCGCGCACAAGAAGATAGGCCTGCTCAAGGAGGAGCTAAGTGCCCTGCTTGTGATCAACGCCACAGCATCAATGACTGCTGGTATATCAACACTGAACAAGCACCAGATTGGTGGAAAGCAAACAAGCATGTTGAAGCTCTTGTAGAGGTCAAGAAGAAGCATGACACCACCTTAATTGGCGCACTGAGAGGCCAGAGCCGAGCTCGCTCTCAATCACTTCACATCAAGAAGTCACACACACCAACTCCAATAATCCAAGAGCTAGAGGAAGAACAATGACTCGAGGGCAGGAAGGTTGCCACTATCAGCGCTGATCTCTACGCAGCTTTCCAAGCCAGCTCCAGCCACGACTATCCGCTGAGGCATTCCTTCATCTTAGACTCAGGCACAACCTGTCACATCACCAACACACCACAATGTATACACCACTTCAGGCCATGCACACAAGGAGACTTTATCTGGGCAGGAAACACAAAGGTGTGGGTAATAGGATATGGCTCAATCGCCCTGCACTTGAGCAGTGAAGGACAGACAACAAGGATAACACTGCAGGACGTGGCCATCTGTCCCGATCTACTCTGCAACCTCGTCTCCTTCCGCCTGCTCAGGCAGTCTGGCATCTGGTGGGACACCCAGCCAGAGCCTACCACTCTCAGGAAATTAGATGGATCGATCATCGCCGAGGTCGCTGAAATCCATGGCCAATGGGTCCTGGAATACAATCTACCTGCGCACGCTACCTTCTACACGCACACCAGCTCAAGGACAGCACGAGCGACGCAGAGAGCCTCTGCAGTCACCTGGCACAAGAGGCTCGGCCACCCAGGCCCTGCAGCAATCGAACACCTCGTACAACAGGCTGAGGGGGTGCGCATCAAAGGCATCACTACAGCCGAGTGCAACGCATGCGGCAAGGCCAAGGCCAAGCGGCAGATCCGACGTGCACCACGCAACAACAACACTGAAGGACCAGGAGAGAGACTAGCTATTGACTTCCACTCGTATGAGGTACAATCTATCACCAAGGAGAAGTCACAAATGCTCGTCACAGACAGATTCTCAGGCCTCTAGTGGGATATCTACTTCACAGACAATCGCACAGCAGCTTCAATCATCGCAAAGCTAGCTAACTTCATCCTCTTTCTAAAGAACCATTTCAACATTACTGTAAAGGTTATTGAATCAGACAATGAGATCACAACAGTCAAGCCTTAGGTACAGAACTGGCTTGCAACTAAAGGAATTATTATTGAGCCTTCAGCACCAGACACACAAGCCCAGAACGGTGGAGCTGAACGCTCAGGGGGTGTGAACAAGGAGAAAGCACGAGCAATGAGGCTAGATGCTAACCTCTCCTGGGAACTGTGGCCAGAAGTCACAAGAGCAGCAGTATACCTGTACAACAGAACGCCAAACTACAGTAACAACTGGAAGACACCCTATGAGATCTTCTTCACACACACTGCTTTCAGCAACAGCAGAATTACTTTACTCCGCAAACCAAACCTCAGTTATCTCAAGGCATATGGGTGCAAAGCCTTTGCAATGTCTAATGACACACACCGTAGAAAATCACGCCTCCAACGCTTAGATCTAAAAGCATGGATTGGGTATCTTGTTAGATACATATCCTCCAACATCTATCGCATCTGGATACTATCACTGGCCAGGGTAATCAGCACACGTGACGTCACCTTTGACGAGCAAACAGTGTTTAATAGCAAGACTAAGGACCTGTATAACAACCTTATGCACACCACCCTTAAAGAAATCGCCACCCTTGTAAGGACGCTAGAACTACCAAGTCTAACTACCTATCCAGAGGCTGAGTCGTTCTACGAGGACGATACAGCTACTAACGCCATGCAACTATCTAATCTATCACCAGATTCAGAACCACCTGGATATCACTAAGGAAGAAAGATTGCAGAGATCTATCTATCTCCACCTCTAACTCCGCCACCAGCAGCTTTTCTAGCTGAAGGTAGGCCTGGAAAGCCAACATACCCCACACACGGCTATTCAAGAACAATCCCTTGGCAAGCAGCCTTTATGGCAGGCACCCAAGCAGGAAATATTAGTATCTACCAAGACAAGATTATCGACAAGGCTCAGCTTAGAAGGCTGATAGCAAAAGGAACTGCCCTACACGAAAGCTAGCTGCCACTACCTCCTTCGTTACACAAGGAGATAGAAAGTCACCTATTAAGTGATTGGTGGAAGAAAGCTGAGCAGGAGCACCTCTAAAGCCACCACAAGATGAATTCATGGTCAGAAGCACCACTCAAGCAGATCAGACAAAAAGGGCATCAGATCCTTGACTGCATGTGGGTATACACGTACAAGCTTGACCAGCAACACAGATTGCAGAAATGCAAGGCGCGCCTGGTAGTCCGAGGAGACCAGCAGCGCGATGTATCGGCACAGGACACCTACGCTGCGACGCTTGCTAGCCAGTCATTCAGATTGATGATGGCGATCGCTGCAGATCGTGACCTTGAGCTCAAGCAGTACGACGTCACCAACGCTTTCGTGCATGCAACAATTGATCGAGAGGTCTACATGAGAATGCCGTACGGCCACAGGAAGCCAAATACAGCTCTGAAACTGAACAAGGCCCTGTATGGACTGCGCATCTCACCTCTGCTATGGCAGAAGGAATTCACCAACACCCTCCTTCAACTAGGCCTACAGGCAGTACCTCACAAGCCTTGCTGCATGATAAAGGACGGAGTATTCATCTTCTTCTACGTCGATGACATCATTTTTAGATACCCCAAGAACAAAGAACACCTAGCTTACTTAATTATACAGGAGCTACAGACAAAATACACCCTTACAGGGGGAGAAGACTTGAAGTGGTTCCTAGGAGTGGAAATTACTCAGGACAGGAGAAACCACACACTCCTCCTCTCACAGGCCGCCTACATTGAGAAGATCAGTTGATTAATCAACAAGAAAGACACTCAACACGATACTCTAATGTCCTCTATTAAGCTAGAACCACGAACAGGCCTAGATAAACTAGCAGAAATCAACAAGTACCAGCGCAAGGTTGGCTTATTGCTATTTGCAGCAGTCACAACGCGTCCAGATATAGCGTTTGCAACCTCTAGGCTAGCACGCTACATGCTGAATCCAGGACCAGCGCATCACGCAGCAGCTGATCGAGTGCTGCTCTACCTTATGAGCACGCAGAACCTAGCCCTACGCCAAGGCGGAGGCCTCCACCTCGAGGTCGCGAGCGATGCGTCGTTCGCTGACAACACCTCTGACCGCAAGAGCTCACAAGGCTACACTATTCGACTATTTGGAGGCCTGATTGCATGGAAAGCGAGCAAACAAGACACTGTTACTACCTCTACAACCGAGGCAGAGCTTCTAGCTCTATCACAGGTGGCAAAGGAAGCCATCTTCATCTCAAGGCTGATTAGGGAGCTCCAAGTAGATCTACCACAAAAGACTATCACAATACACTGCGACAACACTTAGACAATCAGCCTAGTAACTAAGGAGACATTAAAGCTTCAAACAAAGCTCCGACACGTGGATATCCACAACCACTGGCTGCGGCAAGAGGTCTAACGAGGAACAATCTTAGTTAAGTACATCCCCTCTGCCAGCATGCCTGCTGATGGCCTCACCAAGGCACTTCCTAAGAACAAATGGGGCGCCTTTCTCAATCACCTCAAACTTGTAGAGCGAACAGAGAGGCCAAATTATCAAGAACTGTCACTGAACAGGCTCCAAGAGGCGCTAGGGTAGTTACCCTGCGAGACGCTGCAATCGGCGCCAGTACACAATCCAGCTTGGATCGCGATCCAAGCTGAGGGGGTGTGTCAGATATGAGCAAGGCTGGCCGTAACACTGGCTCGGCTGGAATGGAACTGCATGGAATGGACCGCGCAGCTGGTCGCACAAGAGCGGGGGATAAAAGCCAGCTGTTCATAGATCGATCGTTCAAATCAATCAATCACAACAATCAGCAAGAACCCTTTAAATCTGACACTATTACGCATATTTTAGCTACCTTAACTTTCTTCAAGTTGTAGCAGTGATTATGCGACTACTAGTGCTTAATCTAGGTAGGGGGGTTAGGGAACACGCGTGAACTACACGTGGCCTGCATACAGCAGCACTAGTATGTTACTTTGTTATTTTTAACTGCAATTGCTGTAAGGCCTTGCCCTTAGCCTGTTTAGGCAATTAGATACTTTTTTAAGCATTGCAATCACATTTCTGAGCTGCCCTTGCTGCCTTGTGCGTGTTAATTTTAGCACGTGATTTAGCAGCCTTGCAATTACGCTCTTCCTTCTCCCTTAACTACCTTACACAGTTATCTTCCTTCTCTTTTGCCTTAAGCAGCTTATTCTAGTGCTGAATTTCACGCCTAGTAGTTTTTATAGCCTCTTCCTCTAACTGCTGCTGCTTAGTTGCCACCTAGCGTTAATTAGCACGTGCCTTTAATAGGGGCTCTACTAGGTAGCACTACCCTATAAGTTAAGGTTATCTGTAGTTAGGGGTAACGTACCTCACGGGCGAGTGGAACACCGAGCGAGTGGAACACTTTTGCCAAGCCCCCACCAAACCACCCTTTACATACTAATGCCTTCTCAACACCACTATTTAGACGTGTCAAATAAAGCTCAGATACAGCTTGCGCTTCAAGCTCTTCAACAAGACGCGACTCTATCCCTGCAACGCGCTGCTACTATCTACAGGGTTCCTTAAGCTACACTAAGTAGACAACGCGCAGGACAACCTTCACGCGCTAATATTACAGCTAACTTACAGAAGCTGGACAACAATAAGGAGAAGGTGATTGTTGAACATGTTTTTAAGCTAGATATGCAAGGATTTTCCCTTTAGCTCTTAGATGTGGCTACTATAGCTAATTCCTTGCGCGCTGAGTGTAATCTGGGCCCTGTTGGCGCAAACTAGCCTAGTACGTTTGTTAAGCAACACCTAGAGCTTAAAGTCAAGTTCAATTGCAAGTATAACTACAAGAGAGCCCTCTGTAAAGATCCTGAGGTTCTGCAGGGCTAGTTTAGCCTAGTAGCTAACACTAAAGCTAAGTATAGCATCTAGGATAAAGACACGTACAACTTTGACAAGACAGGCTTTATAATAGGCTAGATCTCCTAAGGAGTAGTTGTTATAGCTTTAGAACAACAAGGTAGGCTGGCGGAATGGGTATACTCCAACGTCCTTCGTGGGTACCCCCCAAAACTTTGTCAATAATACATGGATTCTAGCGAAATAGGGCTTAAAAGAAAGAGAAAAACTACCTCTACATTTCTGTAGTAGAGGGTTTTGTTATAACTATTAAACTGCACAAGCTAGAGGCTAGAAAATGTTAAAAAAGGGGGGGTACCTAGCAAGCATACCCATTGATAGGTATACTTTGCTAGGTAGTGTTAATAACTTAGCTAATACTAGGCGGAATCAGCTAATTCTTTTTTTATTAGAAGGCGCAATACTAGGCGCTTCTATCGAATAATAGATTATGTAAGCGTATCTCTGCTAGTTAAGAAGCTATAAGCCAAAACGTAAAAAAGCATACCCTACCCATCCGCCAGCCTACTCGCCCGGGCCTGCCACTCGCCCGTGAGGTACGTTAAAAGTTCTGGAATGACGGAGTAGAATTATCGACAATGGCAGTTCCAACAGCTGTACTATTCCAAGAACAAGACAATTTCACCTGCTGTCTGAACTGTTCTACCATCTCCCATCATCCCAGCCCACTGCCTTCTACTCACAGCGGCAGTTCCCATTGCAAGTCAAAATGTTGCCTTGGCCAAGAGTAGCTTGAAGCAGCGTATTCACAAATCCGAAACCGCTGCCTTGGATGGGCTTCAGCGTCGTACCATCACAGGTCACGGCCGCAGTGCACAGTGCCCGAGCCGCAGTGTTCAAAGTTTCTACGTCTACGAAAGCGTCACACTTCACGCTAGCGCCGTAGATGGTGGGAATAAAGATCGCCAAGACTGGGAGAGTGAGGAACTGGCAAGTGTGAGGTTCAAGATCCGTAATGCTTTAGGGAGAAAGTATACCTTCATTGTCGGGTTTGGATGAGGATCTGATGTTTTGTTGAGATGGCTGCAAGATGTGGATATTCTGCAGAATATGGTTAGATATATGGCCTATCGTTGTGTCAGGATGGCCTGGCTTACTCTGGATGATTGGAATCTTACAAGAAGCGTGTTGGGAGTCTATACAGCGATCAAAGCCTCTTCTTATACATGCTCGAGGAAGTCTAGCGAGAACGTCTGTGCACAAGGAATGCTTGTGGTTGCTCTCCCCACGATCCGTTCCATGGTATGCAAGGCGTAATGGCGCACTCCTAAAACAACACTGACCACCCACAGCACACAGGTCTCCAATCATGAATGTATTCAGAGTTACGGAGCGGTCCGCAGTAGAACAGGAATGACATGATTCCCAATAAACTTCTCCATCACATCGTTTCTCTACGTAACGGTATCACCTTGGTCAGCCTCTGTCAGACCGTGGCTAAGACAGTGGCTTCCGCGTACGCCTTGCCATCTCAGAATGCATTGAGATCGCACGATCGTTCTCGGGATCGATTTAGAAACATTTTGCGCCGAGTAGATAGTGAGAGCCACCAACGTATCCGTTATCTGCAGACAACCGCAATCAAGTTGCAGACACAATCATACAGTACGCCCCTACTGCACTCTGCTTATGATGAGTCTTTGGCGCAAACGTACCAAGCCGTACGCAGCTAAGGAGCAAATCAACTTAGAGAATTAAGCTGACCAAAGCAAGCCTTGTGTTTACTGTGTGATCGTAGAATTACTGCACACTTGGCACTGCAGAAGCCTGCTTTAACTTGGTTAGACTAGGGCAGGTTGTGGGGTGTACGAAGTAGAGTGGGTGATAGGCGTTGTCGGCGTTTGTTAACAGTCTTGCGGACGCTCGTGCGGTGTCGTAAGTGCTCCTGCTGATAACGTGAAGAAGGTGCGAGGCAGTGACTACTATAATAGGTAACAAACGCCATTCATAATAGTAACTTCTAATACAGTGTTGAGATTCAGCCGACGTATTGTCTGTCGTGATAGACTGCTGTTATTACAGCATGCATCGCGTGCCGCTGCTTAAAAGCTTCTTAGAGTTTCTAATGTGTTCGTTGCACGGTCTAGGTGTAATATCTTAGCACTACTACCATAGCGCGCCCTGTCGACTAATCAGATATCCCGCTCTTCGAGCACAAGGTCGGTTTATGGCACAGTGCTTGCCTCGTCGCTTCGCCCCTCAGCTGCGAAATGAAGACACGCGAAGACACGGGCATTTCCGAAGCACCCTGTTGAGAAGTCGCTACAACACAAGGATACACTATAGTTTTTGCGACAGAACAGCCAAAGGCCACTGTAGTTCTGCGACCGACAAGTGGTTCAGCCGTGGGTATGTTTCTCCACTTTCTCTTCCTCTTTCAGTTCGGGGTCTTTCTGCCTCCATAGCACCCTTATTTGTTCTTAGTAGATTATTATAGCCCAGACACTGACGATGCAGCCCGATTTGGCCCCCTTTAGTGCTAATAATGACTGAGTTTGTGCGAACCATTTTTGGCCTACTAGCTAACTACACAGCTCTTGTCGCTTGTCCACTTCTTCACTGTCTCAACCACCTCCTCGTTCCCAGTCTGCTCAGCCTCGCTCCGAAGATATGCAGCATCTTCGGCGTCCACCTTCATCCCCCTGCCCACGAAGAATTTGATGACATCAATTCGCTCGCACACTACCGCCTGCCGCATTGCCAGCGTTGACATCCTAGCGCCCTTATTCACCATGGCCTCGATTACACCGATTGTCTGGCTTCCAAAGATTGCATTGCAAAGTGTTCGGGGAAAGTGACCTCCCTCGAGATCGGCATCGTGTTCAATCAGCCAGAGGAGTAAAGGTGTGATCTTCTCGGGTGGCTGTTCGCATGCCTTGGTGACGAAGGTGTCGGTATGGCCGTCCCACTCAAAAGAGACAACGTAAGGATCATAGCCATAGAGTATCTGGAGGATGTCGAGGTTAGGATGGTGTAGCAGCGCTTCGATTGTCTCGCTGGTGAACTGCACTTTGCGCCCGGAGTAAGTTCGCAAGACGAGAGATACTACATTGACGTGACCGTGCGTGATTGCTGCAACGAGCATGGAGTTGACAGGCGGTGGGCCGGAGGCAGAATTCCCGTACACTGGGTCTGAGTTCTGTATGTTGTTTGCCTCGAATCGTCTTTGCAAGGCTGCAACGTCCCCAGAGGTGCATGCGTCGAGTATTTCCTGGCTTTGCGAGGTCATCTTGGCTCGTGGATATGAATTTGGTGGGTGTATCTCGCGTACGGCGAGGCCTCTCTGACTTCGATGTTTGAACAGTTGAAAGCTGGGAGGCGGGATGAGCGTTGATAGTCAGGAACGATCTTGATGGCCAGCTGCCTTGAGTTGACTGAAATGGTTCTAAGCAACACAATAACCCAGCTATCTAGCAAGATTGTGAATTCTTATTAGGTGGTGTCGTGTTTTCTGGGGGAAATCTCTATTAAGAACCTCCCCGAAACGCAGGCCAAGTCTCTGAATGAGGCTTAGCTCGGCAGCGCACCCTGCCCAGGTGTGGCACGGTTCCGTTTCGGCCCCCATACAACACATAACACGGACACCGACAGAGTCCGCATCGGAGTCGCACCAACAGTGCACTGTATCGCGTATCTGGTTCGCTCCTACCTGCTCCCATCTGTCTCTTCCTGCACTGACCACAGGATCGTAGCGAGTCCGCACACGCGTAACGCACTTGGGAGCCGGTCTGCTGGTCCATATTCCATCACGATGTCGCATTGATGTTTTTTTATTTGCATTCGTTCAGCCTAAGGCATAGGCGTTGAATCAACATAAATCGCTGGGGACGGACCTCATACGCGCTACACATGGAGGATGAGCCTGTCGTTCTGTGTGAACATTCACTCGCAGTTTCACATATCTTTTGGTGGCCTAGCTCTGCTGATACCAGTACGGAGTAGAGCTTGCTGACAATGAGCAGCATCGAACGGTTGAGCTAGACCGAGGGTCTCTCGATCCGAAGACCGACACATGACACTGAAGCTACTCATATCTGGTCTGGGTACGGATATTACCTGGCCGGACTACGCTGTTGAGTGGACCTGTGCTTGCTTAGGCCCCTGCAATATCGCTGCAATATCAAGAGAATACGTATATAAACAAGAACTTGCGCTCTCAACCCGACGTTCACCGACACTCGTTTCCCTCAGCCAACAGCGCAAGCAGGATCTTGCCAGCTTTCCACTCGTTCATCTTCGTTTCCTGCAACCCTAAACTCTCACGCCGTGTACATTTCTTCTTTCTCACAAGCTTCCGAAGATGTCAGCCTACATTCTCGGTCTCATCATCGGCCTCCTAGCCAACAAAGCAATGGCAGGCTGCATGCCGTCTAAGCAGGCCGACTGTACGCCCGGCGCGCAGTGGTTGAACAAATGTCCCAAAGGGATGCCCAAAAAATGGGCATGTCTAGATCCCAAGATCGACTTTCCAACCGTCGATTGCATCGCGGCGGACATCATAGCCTGCGGAACCCTGGAAAAGAACCCGGCCCTCTTCTATTCCTTTGGTGCCACCACCATTGAAGTGCGCACGAAGGTCCGCGACAAGCTGAGTCCCAAGCCCGTCATGTTCAACGACGCGTTGCCACAAGACTGGGACGACAAGGTCGCCCGGGATCCCCGTTTTGGCCTGCTTCAAGGCAAAATAGCAGACCCAGGATACGAGAAGCGATACGACGCATACGTGAATCGTTTTTCGGCGGCCATGGCGAAGGTCGCGCAAAGAGAGGTCATAATCGTGACCGCGACGCGCACCTCGCGCAACACAGGCGAAGGCGCATACTCACTGCCGGATCCTCAGACGCCTGCAGAGAATAGATGGCGCTTGTACGAATTCCCGGTCGCGCAGCGCAACCTAAAAGTGACGAGCGTGGTGAGCTACGCGCTCGAAGAGAAGCCACTTAAGAAGGTTGTCGATTTCCAACCCGGCGTAAAGGGAGCTCTCTTGCCAATGCCTACCTTTCCCAACCCTCCGAAGCCAGCTGGCCAGCGACCAGCTTCTCCGCAACAGCCAGCTCCTGGCCCTTCGACTCCTCGACCCAACACTACTCCCGGCTCTCCCAAGAAGCCTGCTCCTGGCTCTCCCAAGAAGCCAGGATCTGGAAAGAGGTCCAAGCGCAGCACGCGTGCGGAGCGGCGCGAAGAGATGCTGGGGGATGCCCGGGCGTGAGGCTGTTGTGTGTAGGTGCGGACCGGGTCGAGGCGTCACCGTGTGCCTGAGCAGTCGGTCTGAAGCTCTGTAGCCAATGAGCGTCGGTGAGATATTTCAATTCCTGGTCTTTCCACGAGCTCGGGGTGGTCGATGGTTGATCTGTCTGGCTTAGGGAGGGTAATCTGTCATGGGTGAGTGCGCAGGATGACTCATTCGTGCATCCGTCATTGTTGCCATTCTGTTGAGAGGTGGTTGTTGTCGAAACTACGTTGATATGTCGAAGTATTGCATAGTTGAACATGTCAGCTATCAAGGATACACTGGTACCGTAGTGTATTAGTGTGCTTAGATCACAGGAGGATATATATCCACTCACTTTGATAGATTCATCAATCAACAACTACTTGCTCAATCTCCTTTCATATTGCTGACAGTATTGGGAGAGCTGTGTTCGTATCGTGACGGTAGATCCCTGAATGATCATCTTCCGCAGACGCAAGCGCTTGCTTCCGGATCTCAGCTGCGCTGCTCTTAGCGCTATCGAATCCATCGTTCAGAGTCTAACCGTCAGATGCTATCCCAAGAAACTTGTTGATGTGCTCGCCGTCACCATGCGCATCGCGATGCGAATCTTCCAGAGCATAATCTATTGCGCATCTTCCTGTGTCAGGGACGCAGGACAGGCTGGTGAGGTGGCGTCTTGATGTCGAGGGACAATCTTGTCCCAACTCGAAGCAACTTGCACAAGGTCGTACTGAAGAGCTGTACTGAGGCCTTCCCGTGGTTCGCCGGCATGATGGAAGAGTCGACGCCTGAGCAGGTCCGACGCTTGCTCGAGAGCTCGCCAATGTGGCTGATGGAATGTCTGAGCGAAAGCGAGATGGAAGAAGTGCACCTGTCTGCGACGAAAATCCCCCTGGGCTCGACTATGCTCAATCTCGCTCAGAGAGTCAAGGTTAGCCGGGAGGCGTGGAGGGGCAAAGGATCTCGATCCAGCATCGCAGTAGTTTTGGAATGAGGGGCGGTATACCAGCGGCAAGAAACATTGGGAGCGCAGTAGCGTGCTGGCAGTCGGTAAGGCCAGTGACTCTGTAATCGCCGGATATCTATGAACATGTTGTTTGGCTGAACGTCGGGATGACGAATAACGGCGAGGTACTCTCATTGCAGCTAGAAGACAAGGTCAGAACTGTTGTGACCCAAGGTAAGAACTGTTGTGACCCCCGCAGCTGTTGGCTTTGCCCATTCTCACATCCATCTGCCCAAGGTGTAGTTGTTCGAAAAGCTGACAGTCACAATCCACGGCATGCTGCTTCGATTTGTTCTGAACATATGGCAGCAATGGAAGGAGTAACAGAAGTAGCAATAGAGATACGCCCCAATATCCGCTCTTACAAACAACCCAACCCAACCCAACGCCGTGTATGCAATGCAACGCTCCCAACCAAATCCCAACAGAATGATAGATGCACGCTGCAACCGGAAAAAAAGGAAAGAAAGAAAAAAAAAAAAAAAAAAGACTACCGTATCCCCTTCATCCACCCCTCAATGTTGTTCCGCTGCTGCGGGTTCATCGGCTGCAGCAGCAGCATATTGGGGTCCATCGGGCCCATATTCATGGGCGTGTTCATATTTTGCATGTTGGCATTCATGCCCTGCATATTGACATTCATACCCTGCATGTTGGCATTCATGCCCTGCATGCTGGCATTCATGCCCTGCATGTTGACATTCATACCCTGCATGTTGGCATTCATATTCATGCCCGGCATGTTCGCGCCCGGCATGTTCACGCCCGGCATCATCGGCATGCCGCCCATGACGTTCATCTGCGGCCCGGGCTGCATCATGCTCATCTGCATGGGCATGGAGCTCTGGCGGGCGCCCAGGCCGGGGTGCATGGCGGGCTGCTGCAGGCTCATCTGGCTCATCATGGCCATGTTGTTCATGGCCATGGGCATGCCCATCTGCGGCATGGGCTGCATGTGGGCCATCATCAGCGGGTTCTGCGCGCCCATCATCAGCGGGTTCTGCGCGCCCATGCCGACGGGCTGGCTCATGTTCATGGCCGGACTGGCGCCCATGGGGCTGAACACGGACTGGCCGCGTGGCTGGTCGAGCGCGCCCAGGCCGCCCATCTTCTGCTTGTAGGCCTGGATCTTCAGCGCGAGCGGCTGGTCGTCGTCGTCCCTGGCGGTCGTGCTCAGGCCGCCGCTGACGAGCGGATTGCCGAGGCCGAGGCTGCTGGCCCGCATCGTCTGCGTCAGGCGCTGCGCTTTGCGCCTCTCTTCCTGCACGGCGTTCTGGTGCAGCAGCGAGCCCGCGGGCAGGTGCGACATGAGCTGCTCGTTGGAGACCTTGCGCGCCTGGTGTTGCTCGTCGTAGGGGTTTGCGCCGAGGACGTCGGCGAGGCTCATCTTGGACTTGAGGCCGCGCTCGCCGGGGTTTAGCATGTCGCCGCGCGCTTCGGCTTCGGCTACGAGGCGCGCGCGGCGCTGGCCGAGGGTTTCCTCTTCGCCGTCGTCGGGCGCGTCTTTTGATGCTGGGGGCGCGTCTTTTGATGCTGAGGGCGCGTCTTTTGATGCGGGGGGCGCGTCTTTTGATGCGGGGGGCGCGTCTTTTGATGCGGGGGGCGCGTCTTTTGATGCTGGGGGCGCGTCGTCGACGCCCAGCTTGGAGAGCATCTCGGCGGCAAAGTCGCCGCTCACTGTGCTGTTGCGGACGTCGTCGCCCAGAGCCTCTTCTAGCATCTTCTTGTCCGCGAGCCGACGTCTTCGCTCGCCGAGGGTCTCGCCGGCGTGCTCGTCTTCCTCGGACTCTGGCTGCGGCGTGAGGGCTCCGGGGAGCTGGAGGTGTGTTTGACTGTCGTACGCGCCGGGCGTGGCTGCCTTGCGGCTGATCGGGACTCCCGTCAGTCGTTCCCGGCGTTTGCTGAGCGGCTCGTTCTCCTCGAGCTCTCGCTGAGCAATCAGGCCGAGCGGGCGGTTCCAGTCGTTGTTCCGCTGAGGCTGTTTGTACAGGATCCCGAGAGGGACGTCGTCGTCGGAATCGTCCTCGTCTTGGGCCTCCCACGCGAGCTGGACCTTCTTCTTCAGTCGTTTCTGGTGCTCCCGCTCAGCGTCGTCGTTGAGGTCGAGCAGTGTCCGGTGCGACGTGATCCTGCCTTCTTCGACCATTGTGACGTAGTTCATGTTCCGCTCCTTCTGCTTTGCTTTGCGCAGCTGGAGCTCAGCAAGCAATGTGGTTGGGGGGCCGAAGAAGTGCGGCTCGTCGTCCTTGTCGGGCTCGTCGTCCACGGCTTGCTCTTCGAGCCCGCCGTGGCTCTCGGAAGAAGTGCGTCGCGACGGCGCGTCGTGGTTGTCCGGTGCTCGCGCGTCGTGGCTGTCGGGTGCTCGCGCGTCGTGGCTGTTGGGTGCTCGTGCGCGCGCGTCCGGGTCGTCCCGGTCGTCCAGGTCGTCCCGGTGGTCCAGGTCAGCGCCCAAGCTCATGCGGCTCTCGGCAGCCCTGGCGACCAATATGTTCATGTCTGCAGAGCTGTTCCGCTTCTTGAGCTTGTTCAGCTTGGCGCCGCTGGAGTTTGTGGTGGTGTCGAGGATGTTGAAGGAGCTTCTCCTCTTGGTTGTCAGGGGTTCTACATAGACCGGGTCCATGAGGGACAGCCTGGTGCTCTTGCGGTCGCGTGCCTGGGTAAAGGAACTGTCGGTGAAGGCAGACACAGGGGCGCGAGCAGAGGCCTCGAGGATGCTGTCGAGGGTGGCCTCGGCAGACTCGCCCTTGACCTCGAACTCGTGCGCAGGCGCCTGCTGGTCGAAAAAGGCACTCGCCCGCAGCTGTGCAGGCAGGCCGGCGAAGCTCTGCCGACTCTTCCGGTTCTTCGGGGGCTCGGGAGCGTTGAGCCAGGGGGCAGATTTCCTGCTCTCGGCCTGCATCTGGTCCAGAACCTGGGTGCGCCGTCGTGCCGCCACGTCGCCAGCAGGCAGCTGAGACAGGCGCTTGGGCAGGTTCAGCATGCGCGGCACGGGGGCTGGGTAGAAGACCATGCCCTCCTCGGGCGGCGGCGCTCCCAGGGACGGCATCATAAAGGACGAGCTGCGGCTGCGGCGGCCATTGGACGGGTCCGGCTCGTCCTCTTCGGGGACCGTGTCTGGGGCGTGTGTGCCGTCAAAGTCCTGCCAGAGGGTGCGTGCCTGGTGGGTGGTGTCGGTGGAGGCGGCCGTGGGCGGGCGGTCGGGGAGGTAGTGCGGGTAGGGGTGGTGGGTGCCGTCGTTGTGGTGGGTGTCGTCGTTGTGGGTGTCGTCGTCGTAGGTGTGGGTGTGGGTGTGGTCGCGGTTGTGGTACTGGTCGTCGTCGTCGCGGCCGCGGTCGCGGTCGCTACTCCGGATCTCGTCGCGGATCTCGTTTGCAATCTCCTCGTACTTGCGGGTAAAGGACGAGACGTGGCGCTGGTGCTCGACGGGCGTGGCCAGAATGCTGCTGGGCGAGCCGGGGCGTCCGCGGTGCTCGTCCCGCTCGTCCCTGTTGTCCCTGTCGTCCCTGTCGTCCCGCTCGTCCATTTCGCCCCGCTCGTCCATTTCGCCCCGCTCGTCCATTTCGCCCCGCTCGTCCCGCTCCTCGCGCACCTGCTCCGGATGCACAACCTGTCCCAGGCGCGAGGCCTTGCTGCCGGAGCGATGGCGCTGCAGAGACGTCGGCGGGTTCGACCACGAGCCCGACGCGAGCGAGCCCGCGGGCGACGTGACGTAGCCCGCGGGCGAGTAGCCGCCCCAGCGCGCGGGCCCGTTGGTGTCGACGACCGAGTTGGCGTGCGAGCTCGTCGAGAGGTTGCGGCTGCGGCCCGAGTGCACGCGGGCGAGGCCATCGCTGCCCGCCTTCAGGTCGGCGTGTAGCCTGCGGATCTCGTCGTCGAGGTCGGACCCGGCCTCGCTCATGCGCTCGGCGTGTTCCTCCAGGCGGCTGATGTTGCCGACGTACGCGCCCTGCAGCGACTGCAGGTCGGGCATCGGGGAGTGCAGCACCTCGGCGGGCGCGGGCGGAAGCGGCGACACTGGCGGCGGAGAGGCCATGGTACGCTGTTGTGGCTCGCCAGCGCAGGCAGAGCGGGTGGTCCGTCGCGGGAATCAGTTGCGGAAAAGGAGAGGGTCGGCTGCAAAGTGTCGCGTTGCAGCACCGTCGGCCCTTTGGCAGCACCGTCGCGGAAGGATGCGACCATCTACCGCCGCACCGCCGACTCCCGCGATTCCCACACCCACCACCCCGACCCGCCAGCACTGTCAACACCCCGACCCGCCAACATTGTCAACACCCCGACCCGCCAGCATTTTCACCACCCCGACCCGCCAGCATTGTCACCACCCCGACCCGCCAGCATTGTCACCACCCCGACCCGCCAGCATTGCCAACACCCCGACCCGCCAGCATCGCCAACACCCCGACGCGCCGACATTGCCAACACCCACGCCCGCCAACACTGCCAACACCGACCGCCCCCGCAATGGACGACGCCCCGCCCAAGCGCAAGTTCAACTTCCGCCAGGAGGCCAACAAGAAGCCGCGCACCGACCATGGCGGCAGCGGCAGCGGCGGCAGCGGCAGCAGCGCGCTCAGGGCGGGCTTTGGCGCAAAGATGATGGCCAAGATGGGCTACACGGGCCAGGGCGGCCTGGGCAAGGAGGGCGAGGGCATCGCAGAGCCCATCCAGGTCGTCCTGCGCGGGAGCAAGGGCGGCGTCGGCATCGTGTCGGAGAAGAGCGACCAGCAGAAGCGCGAAGAGCGCCGCAAGGCCGAGGTCAACGGCGACGACTACGTCGACTCGTCCGAGGAGGAGCGTCGCGCGCGCAAGAAAAAGGCCAGCGCTGCCCGAGAGGCCCGCAGTGCAGCGCGCCCGCGCCCGAGGAAGACGCTGTTCGAGCTCGAGGCCGCAGGCATGCACGTGCCGCCCGCCCTGCAGTCCATCATCGACGCGACCACGGGCGCCTCGACCCCGACAGCCAGCGTCTCCCTGCGCGGCAGCGGCGCCATACCCTTTGAGAACTCGCTGCAGGCCCGCGTGCGCCGCGACCTCGACAGCTTCTCCGACGCCTTCGAGGCCCTGCAGCTCGAGTCGGGCGCCATTGCGCCGCAGGAATATGGCCTGCAAAAGGAGCTGGACGCCCTGGACCGGCAGCTGGACGAGATCCGGGACCTCGCCGCGAGACTGCAGTCCCTGCGCACGGCCACCTTTGCCCAGGTCTGCGACGGACTGAGGGACCTGCGCGCCGCCTACCCCTCGAAGCCGCTCCACCGCGAGTCCATCGCCCTCCTCCACCCGCACTTTTCGCAGATGATGGCCGAGTGGTCGCCGCTAGAGGATGCCCTCGAAGACGCTGCCGCTGCCTTGCTTGACCTGTCCAACGTCGTACAACCGCGTAGCAGGAGGATTGCGTCCGACGCCTACACATGTGCGTCCGACGCCTACACACGTCCGTCCGACGTCTACACACGTCCGTCCGACGCCTACACACGTCCGTCCGACGCCTACACACGCCCGTCCGACGCCCACACACGCCCGTCCGACGCCTACACACGTCCGTCCGACGCCTACATACACCCATCCGACGCCCACACACGTCCGTCCGACGCCTACATACACCCGTCCGACGCCCACACACGCCCGTCCGACGCCCTACTCGCGCACACACACCTCGACGACGAGCCGCCCATCAAGCGCGGGACAAGCTCATCCTACGAGACCATGATGCTCAAGCTGTGGCTGCCCCCGGTCAGCTCCGCTGTGACGCAGTGGCATGTCAAGGAGCCCCGCCCGATGCTGCATCTCGTCCATGTCTGGAGACGGGTGCTTCCCCCGTTCGTCGCCAAGAGGCTGCTGGAACAAATCACCCGCAAGCTGTCCACCTCTGTGCACGAGTGGAACCCTCGCAAGTCCAAGTCGAGTCCGCACGCCTGGATCCTCGAGTGGCTGCCACATGTCAAGCCCGCCGACCTGGATCCCAAGGGCTCTGGCCTCGTCGCCGACGTCAAGCGCAAGCTACGCCATGCCCTGCAGTCCGTCGACTTGGCTCGCGGCCCGCTGGCTGGCATGGAGCAGTGGACGAGAGTCTTTGGCAAGGCCGAGATGGATCGAATGCTCACCAACCACCTCGTGCCGCGCTTCGCAAGCCACCTGCGGGACAGCTTCGAGATCAACCCCGCCGAGCAGGACATGGCGCCACTGGAGGCTGTCTTGGCGTGGAAAGGACTCGTGTCGGATCAGACCCTCGGCGAGCTCCTCAAGGCGCAGTTCTTCCCCAAGTTCCTGGCCGTCATCCACCAGTGGCTGTCCAGCGAAGCCGTCGTCTTCCACGAAGTGCAGGAATGGATCAAGTGGTGGAAGGAGACATTGGGCGACGACATCAACGCCCTGCCGTCCGTGGCGTCGTGCTGGGACGACGCCTACACGCTGATCAACCAGGCCCTCGACCTGGGCGACGCAAGGCTGACCGACCTGCCCGCGCCGCGCGTCGAGAGCGTCCGAGCCTCACCCGAAGCCCCAGACCCGTCCAAGTCTGCCAACCCGTCCAAGTCTGCCAACAAAGAGCCACCTCGGCCAGCGGCAAAAGTCGAAGAGGCCACGTTCAAGGACGTCGTCGAAGACTTTTGCGGCGAAGAGAACCTGCTCATGATGCCCCTGCGCGAGGCCCACCACCTCACCGGTCTGCCTCTCTTCAGAATCACGGCAAGCGCAACAGGCCGCGGAGGCGCCGTGGCATACCTCCAGGGCGACGTGCTGTGGGTGCAGAACAAAAAGAACAAAACCCTGTGGGAGCCCACCGGTCTGGACGAAGCCCTGGTTGCAAAGGCCGAAGGGAACTGACCGCCGTCTGTTGCTGGGCAGATACTGCCGCCGTCTGTTGCTGGGCAGGTACTGCCGCCGTCTGTTGCTGGGCAGGTACTGCCGCCGTCTGTTGCTGGGCAGGTACTGCCGCCGTCTGTTGCTGGGCAGATACTACCGCCGTCCGTTGCTGGGCAGATACTACCACGCGCCTCACGCGAGCAGCACGCAGGGTAAGCTCCCACACCCTTCTCACGGCAGATTTCTTGCGCGCTTCGGCTAATCCGGTGTCACTGCGATACCCCTTAGGTAGTCGGTCCCGTCGTTCCAAGGCACGATACATGGCCGCTGCACGCGCGCGCAGTCAATGAAACCCACTTCTATACTTGTCACAGCCCCACTCCGCCATCTCCTCATCAGTGCATGAAATAGCTGCACGTTTACACGCACGTGCATGAACGCCCGTCCTGCGGAGATCAACCCGAGGAGTCGCATGCTTTGCTCTGAGTCCCTTTCCTCGTACTGCTGCCACGGTTGCCAACAGTCCATCCAGTGGGCAGCGACCTCGGACTGACTTGGTTGGTTACCTGCCTAGTTTTTATTTCTGCCTAGTTTTTATTCCTACATAGTCTTTATTCCTACATAGTCTTTATTCCTGCCCAGTTTTTATTCCTGCCTAGTTTTTATTCCTGCCTAGTTTTTATTCCTGCCTAGTTTTTATTCCTACCTGCTGGGCAGGCGCATGGACGTCAGGTCGAAATCGACTTGCCTGTTGACAAGGCTGATGCTGCTGTCCAGACCGTGGGATTGCAGGCGCCACAATCTGCCAGGGCGCATGTAATCCAGCTACCAAAAGTAGCGTGGCAGGCTATGGGTTCACAACCGCCTGCCTCGCGATCGCATGTCACACGGAATCTCGCTCCATTTCACACGATTTGCAGACCGTTTCGCCCTATCGGCAGCCTCGATATATGTGATGAGGTGCTGGGTCCTGGTTCGCTTAGGCGGGCGCTTAGAGGGTTAAGGCGTGGCCATGCGCGGCCAATGAGAGGCTCGAGTTGATGTGCTTTTCGAGACATGGTTCGCTGGCCTGCAGGGGGCGCGCAGATCCGGACGTGGATGAGGCTTCATGCATGCGGGCCGCGCTGTGCCGTGGGTTTTGCACATGATCTGTAAGGTTGGAGTCGCACATGTCCGAACGTGATGCTGCTTCCATTTCGAACGGAGGAAGAGCAATCTGGACGCAGTCAAGATCATCAACATGAAGATCGTCAATACCAAGATCATCAACACCAAAATCATCAATACCAAAATCATCAACATCAAAATCATCAATATCAAAATCATCAATATCATCAACATCAATATCATCAATACCAAAATCATCAACATCAAAATCATCAATACTCTCACGACCCTGGACGTCACACTTGGAATCACGACTCGCATGAATTATCAGAGCCAGCCAGGCGTCGCAGTGCGGATGCAGATCCACTTGCACCATGCCGGTCCACTTGCACTAGCCCGCCACTAGCGACCCCGCTCCAGCGCCTCCAAACGAGCAACCACTGGACGCCATGCTGTCGCTCAAGAAACAACCTCTCCAATCAGCATTCACACCACCCATGTCTTCGATATCACACCTCAGTCGACCCGGAGACCTTGGCCAGCCGCTGTGCAAATATCACCATGTGCGCCTGCTGTTACGTCTCACACCTCTCCCTGGTTCCTCACTGCCGGATTCCTCAGTGTCAGATCGGCAGTCTGTGGCTCGTTGAAGACGCCCTCGGAACATAGTAACCTTCTCCTCCTACACCTTCAGTTTAATAAGATGCTGGGCAGGGCGCTACCTCCGGCTCTCTTCTCGCTCCTCCTTGCCGCTGCGCGTACTGCCGCCTCGCCATCACCATACGACTTCAAAGATAACTACAACGACCCTGCACCAAGTCCAGACGACGGTCCCCCGGCGTCGTTTTACGCCGAGAGGAACGAGCAGAGACTGCCGTACGAGATTTGCGGTCTTGTCGGCGGCTACGTTTTCACAGTATTGATCTGGGGCATCCTGCTCCTCACCATCGGGAGAAGGATGAGACGCAGAGCATTGGAGCCGCCGCCAGCGCTGGAGCTCGAACAGGAATTGAAGCCCATGAAACCGCCCATGGAATTGAAGCCCATGAAACCGCCCATGGAGACACCCATCAGCCCGAGCTCGATGCGCTCGCCCACCAGCTGGATGCGCAAGTTCAAAAAGGACCCCGAGTCGCTTTCTGGAAGCACGCCCGTCAGCCCAGTCGTCCAGAGCCCGACGTCATTCGATCAAAAGGTGCTGGACGCCGACAGAGTGCGTGCGCAGGACGACATGGAGCGGCTCTACGCTGCTGTGATGGACCATGACGCGAAGAAACACTCGCGGCAGACAAGCCGGGCCACTGTTGAAGAGTCGCCGCCACGGCCAGCGATCAGAAATGAGTCCCGGAGACCGTCAGCCATCAGCACTACAAACCGCGCGCCAACCGACAGCAGTCCCACGTCGCCCATCAGAGCCATCTACCCTCCTGACTACAGCAACAGCATGACTGCACCTGCTGTGCCATACCCACGCACCAGCAGCCTCCGCGCCGAACAACCGCCCCCATCACCGCGGTCCATTCTCTCGAAACCAGTCTCCCGCTTGTCAAGCGCAAGCAAGCGCGACGACAAGTCTGCTCGCTTCAACCTCAAGAACCTCCGCATCAGCGGCCCAATGCAAAGCTACGGCGGCGCTGCCGCAGACGACGAAGCCCGCACCCCCCTCTCACCGCGCTTCTACCTGGACCCAGGCGCGCCGCCCTCGCCCCCAACCCAGCCCACGTCGCCCTCAACCCCGTACTCGCCCACGGAGCCCGCGGAGATCTCGCGCGCACACAGCCTCCGCATCCCGCTCCCCTCGCCCGCGCCGCAGCGCGGACCCGGCCTCACCATCGCCCCGCCCCCAGCGCCCAGGATCAACATCTCGCGCTCCCCAACCATGACGCCAACCAAGCACCTCCCCTTCCGCGCCTACCAGACCGACGCCCCGCTGCCGTCCCCGGGCATCCAGACCACCGTGCTCGACCGCCGCCCGGATAAGCTGGCCCTGCAGACGCCCCGCACGGGGGTGCCGTTTACTCCGTATAGTCCGTACATGCCGTTCACGCCCATCACGCCTGTGACGCCGCATCTGGTGACCAAGAAGGAGAGGAAGGGAAGGCGCAGGGAGGGCGAGAGGTTGGGTAGGCTCGATGAGATGGTTAAGAGTCCCCAGGATATGTTTGGGGATGCTTATTAGTGGTGCTGGGGGGGTGAATATTCTTCGGGCTTGTGTATATGGGCGGTTTTGCTTGCGCTTCGGCACTTTAGCGTTCTAATAGACATCATGACTTATGAAGATTTGGTGTGCTGCGCGAAGCACGCATCTGCGCCATCGTGCGTTCCTCACATGACGTCCGCAGGATTAAACGCCATTGTACGTGTCGTGGAGACCCCCAGTGCCTCACTCGCAGTGCGTCGTCCCGCGACCGTCGGGGTTGCATACGCACCGCCCATACGCACTACCCAGTCAGTTAGTTACCACCGCTTACACGTCCATCTCGCCGTAGTCGGGTCTTTCGGCTCTGCCTTGAGGATGAATGGCTGAAGACCATTGATGGTCGGACGGACACGGGGAAGGGGAGGTGGTCGGGTGCTGAGTTGGCTTTGCTGGAGTTGTACACGTGGGTGCTGTGTAAGGCTGATGGACGTGTTTGCTTGGCTTGGATCTTGATACTTGTCTGTCGATTGTAGTGATGCTGCGGAACAGTGATGAGGAACCCGTCAGCCGTGGTTGAAACGCACCCACTCGAGCACATGGAAGCACTTGTCAACACGTTCGGCAATCGGCAGAACCGCTACCCCTCAGCGGGGAAGGAATGTGTCATTATCGTCTGAATCATAAGAACATAAGCATCGTAAACTAACTCCGTATACTCCCAGCAGCGCACCCTCTGTCCCCCTCCCTCGCGCTCTACGCCTTGGCACCGTACTTGCCGTAGTTGGCGTATGTGCCGTAGCCGTTCTT